ATTTAAAGGTATTTGAACCTTGAATTACATTTAGAGTGCCACAAAACAACCAACTTTTGAAGCCCAAACAATGTACTAGCAGTTCCCAGGCCAAATGAAGCAGCTGTGCATTTTTTTAGTGAATCGGTCGACCGGTGGGACAACCGATCAGACGTTCAGCCGGTTGTTCGGTGGGACTCACCTCCAACATACACGGATAGTATTTTGGTGAAACTTGACCCAGCTCCTCAATCTAGTGAAACTTTTGCTCCATTCTCAATTTGATATCAATTTGGTGAAACTATTGAAGGTGAGAAAAGTGACATTTTTTCATCAAATTTAAATCTGATGATGAATTTGATTCACCGTTGAAGATGGTCTAAATATACAAAATAAATTTTGGTTGCGTTTGGTAAAGCTTTAGAATTATGATTTGAAAATAGAGTTGTATTTTGAGTTTGTAAGTTTTGAAATTATGATTTGAGTGTGAAAAATTTGTTTGGTTATGAGTTTTGAAAAGAGTTTGAATTGAGTGATGTGACATATAATATTGAAAAGTGGTGTTTTGAAAAGTGGGTATGGAATTAATTTTCTAAAGCTATAGCCAAACAACACACTTAAATTAATAGGTAGAATTAAACTTCAAAAACTCTACCAAACAGATTAATTCTCTCAATTTCATTTCATAAAATAGTAACACCCAATCAAAATTTAGAATCAATTGTGTATGTTTACCACATCATTATAAGTTTTAGAACTTTCTCTAATCATTTTTTTATAGGGAATTTATTAGGAAATCTTTTTTCAAGTTCTTGTATCTTAATTAGTCCACAACATATTCTTATATTTCAATAAGTCTTATTATTTGGACATATAATCCATAAATCCTAATTCTCATATTTAAAGTATTTTTATGGATAATTTTACCCTTACAAATATTTTTTGAATGCTTAGCAACTTAGTGATGTGGACATTCATATTTTACAGTGTAAATATTTACATTACAGAACATTTATACTGTAAATGTGAATATTATTATTATTAGGGATATTTTAATAAGTATGTCACCTATAGAATTTATTAGAATATCAGAAAATAATTTAAATTAAGTAGAAGTGAAGAGAGATTTTTGCATAAACATTCATTTTTTAAAAAAAAATTAGAATAAATGTTTATTAATATGGAAATTTTCACAATCATGATTTATGTAAGGTTGGTGAACCTTGACTAATCAGCCTTTTTATTCTAGAGTCCATGTCTATAAGGGTGTAATTTTGGTTCGGCTCGGCTCATGTCTGGCCTTGCGGGCTCCTGCCAAAAATTGGGCCAAGTTGGGTTGACTCACGGGCCAAAAAACTAGGCCCAGGCCCAGGCCCAAGCCCAGGGGTATTCAGCCTTTGGGCGGGCCAGTGGGTCGGGCCGCTGGGTTTGGGTCTGGGCTCGGGCTATAGGCGAGCTTGGGCGGGCCTAAACAATTTTTTTAAATTTTTTCAAAAAATTATATTATTTTCCATTAAAAATAACACTGGGCCTCAGGCGGGCCGGACGGGCCGGGCATTTGAGTGGGCCTTGGGCGAGCCCACAGGCCGAACTGGGCTTCAAAATGATGGCCCAGGCCTATACCCAAGACCTCGGGTTGGATTTGGGTTTGGGCTTGGGCTTGGGCTTGGGCTCGAACCTAAACGGGCCAGGCCTACTCCCGGGCCGCCCACGGGCCAATTTTACACTCCATCTAATACTTAAAGAGCCACCATTTAAAAAGTATGAAATAGTCATAAAAACTTATTATATTTTGAATTAAGAAGAAATTATTCCATGTCCAATAATTAAAGGGCAACCATTTAAAAATTATGAAATAGTCATAAAACTTATTATTTTAAATTAAGAAAAAATTACTCAAATATTGACATGAAAAAATTATCACGTGACTATATGTCATGTGGTGCTCTTCTTGGGTGGTATGCTATGCTTGTTCTTTTTTTGGGGTTGGTACTATGCTTGTTCTTGGGTGCCTGCTATTTTCCTTTTTGATTTTGTTTGGGAAGATGATTGCATTAAAATAATTTATTAAAAGATGAAATAGACTAAAATAGTTAATAGATAAAATATCGCATCTAACCTATAATTATTTTACTTTTTCTCTCACAATCATCAAATCAACTACAAAAAAAACTAATCAACTTTTCCAACACAACTATTTTAGTTAGGCTAAAATAACCAAAAAAACCAAATAGCCAACTAAAATAATGAACTTCCCAAACAAGGCCATTGTTTCTCTCTTTCCTATTTTTCTGTCTTTTGGTTTGGTTTCTCACCAAACTCAGTCTAGTGTTAGCATATGTATCGTTTTGATACTTTTTGCACATGACCTCTTTATGTATGATTTATTTGTGCTCGTACATTTCTTTTCATCAATAAAATTCTTTTTTTTTTATTTTGTTGATAAAAAAAATATCATTTTTTATCTAATTTTATACATAAGCTAGTTTTAAAGTAAATTAGAGAAGAAAAAAAAAAACTTTTATATAAGATCAAAATAACGAAGAAAAAAAAAACTTTAAGAATTAAATTGAAAAAACAGCCAAATATAAAGTGAAAAATATAATTTAGCCAATAAATAATGTGCATTCACTTCATCTCTTAATGAGTAGGCCCCAATCATTACATTTTTTTAATCGTTGTATCCTTGTTTGTGGTCTATTTTTGGGTGGAGAAATTTTTTTCCTCCGGTAATGTATGTGGTGTTTTAATTTGATATTTATTTATTAAAATAATAAAATTTAATATTTTTTGTTAGATTTTTAAAATAGCTTGATAAATATTAAATGATAAATGATGTGTAATACTATTTTAAGATTACCAAATAATCACTCATTCAAGTGTGATTTGTATAATTAACGTAATAATTATGGTTTTTGACTCTCAATTCTTCCTTAATAATAAATAATTTAAATTCAATTTTCAACTAAAAAAATTGTGATGATGAGAAATTATTCAGTGCTCTTTAGAATAATGTTACCTTATATTTAAAATTTTACTACAGAAGTGGGTTGGGTTATGAGAAATTATTCAATGTCAATTTCTGCTATGGTAAAGACCGTTAACATGTTCACATCATAGGAATAATTTTATAGGTATTAATATGTTTACTACAAATTTTATTAAAAATATAAAAGGTTAAATATGATAGGTTATCAAAATAATAATAATTCTTGAACATCCAATGATTTTTGAATAAAATCTATTTTACCTCCGTGTAATTTCACTTTGATAGCACTTTACTTCCCCATTTTTTAAAAATAATTAGATGCCCCCATGTGGTTTTAGAGTAAAATACAACAATTAACTATAAATGTGAAATGACTATAATACCATTAAACCTTATATTTTTTGTTATTTTCTTTCTTTCTCATCTCTCATACACATAATTCATAATGTCAAGTATTAATTCAATTAAATCAAAATTAAATATAAATTCTTAATTATTTATTGTAATTCTTAAATTTTTATTAACTTTAATTTAATTATATTTTAGATCACAATTAATCCTAAATATTAAACTATCTATTGTAATTACTAACTTTTTAATCTGATTTTAATTCAATTATATTTTAGATCTCAAATTTTTAATTATTTATTATAATTTTTAACATGTTAATTTAATTACATTTTAGATCAATTCTTAATTATTGTTTATTTTATATTTTATTTAATTATATTTTAAATCAATTCTTAATTATTTTTTATATTTTAGATGAATTCTTAATTTTATTTATTTTATTTTAATTAACATATTAATCTAATTTTAGGTTAAGAGAAAATGGGAGTAAAATTGTTCTTTTGTTATATTAATTTAATTCTAATTTTTCAGAAAACAAAACTCATTCTAAAAAATAGTGTGCGTAATACACTTTTCATTAGTTTGGATGGAAAAATTAATGGTAGCACTTTAGTCCAAAATCACATGGAAGCATTCTGACTATATTCAAATGATCGGGGACAAAGTGCTCCAACCCCAAACTGTAAGGGGTAAAATGAATTTAACCCATGATTTTTTTAATATTTTTAATAAGAATTTGTATCTCCCTGTGTAGTCAAACAATTTAGAAGGTAATATATCTCATCTGAGTTAGTTATTCATTTCTGTATATATTTTATTGTCCTCAAATTACAAAGAATCAACCGCTGAAATATGTATACTTGTTCAATAGATCTTTCAAACCCAAACATTGATTTTCTTTTTTCCTTTTCCTTTTCTTGTTCTTTACAATTTTTTTTCCTTCTAATGTTGAATTTATAATGTGAGCAATGCTTAATCCACAGGTACAAACTGTCCAACTAGACATAACGCTATTCCAAGTTGTGAGGTTGATTATTACTATTTTTGCAACAAAAAAAACAGAAAAAAATAAATAAAAATGATGTGGACCATAAAAATGTATCTCAAATTTTACTTCAAAAACTGATTATAATTTAAATTTAAAGTTAATGAAATGTAAGTCACATTCACAATGAATATAGTCCATTGATTCACTTTTTAAAATAAATTTTATACATTTGTGATATTGTTGTTTTTGCAATATTTCTCATAGTATGATCATATATTTTTTTTTCCTAATTTAATATTGTAACCACCCGGAAATCCCATTAATTTTTTTTTTTTTTAAAAAAAGCCACCTTGAACAGCGGTGACTAAGCACCTTGACAGCCAATGGGTTTTTTTTTATCTATTTATTAACATAAATAATTTTTTATACAATAAATTTCTTGCTGAGACAAATTGTCTTAACCAACCTACAGTGGAGTTGGTATGCATGATTCTAGTATATAACACCAAGGATCCTCTAGAGTATTTTTTTCTAAAGTTTCCTAAAGTGGTGTATTGTGTGGTTGAGATTTAATGCTGAAAAATTGATGTGACTTGTCATTAAATCTCAACCACATAATGTACCACTCTAGGAAACTCTAGAAAAAAAAAATTCTAGAGAATCCTTGCTCAGTATATAAACCGTGGCCTTGCCTTCCATGAAACTCAAGACAAACCCCCCCTAGTCTTACCCCACGTACCCAAATCAACATCCCACAGCCATGAAGGTGAGAAAAGAGAGCTCAAGAATTCTTAAGCCAATTTATGAGGGCACACCACCCCCAACCAATGGTTACATTCCCTTAAGTGTGTTCGACAAGGTCACTTACGATACCCATATCGCAGTTATCTATGCCTATCGTCCTCCAACCCCTCCAAACACAACCTTGGAGCTAGGGCTTCAGAAGGCACTATCGGTCTATAGGGAGTGGGCAGGAAGGTTGGGCAAGAATGACAAGGGTGATTCTGTCATTCTTCTCAACGATGAAGGCGTTAGGTTTGTTGAGGCATCGGTTGATAGCACTCTTGCTGAAAGCATGCCATTCAAGCCTTCATCAACTTTACTTGCCCTTCACCCTAGCTTGAAGGGTGTAGCAGAGTTGGTGCAGGTTCAGTTGACGAAGTTCACTTGTGGCTCATTGGCGGTAGGCTTCACCGGCCACCACCTTGTGGCGGATGGGCATGCCACAAGCAATTTCTTGGTTGCTTGGGGCCAAGTTTGTCGCGGACTTGAGATTAGTTCTCTCCCCTTGCATGACCGCACCATTTTCTCCCCAAGAGATCTTCCTAGTTTCGAGTTTGAGCACGAAGGAGTTGAGTTCATGAGCAAGAAACTCAAGAAGGATTATCCTCTTGTTGATAATCTTGTGGACGACATCGTGGTGCATAAAGTTCATTTTACGTTGGAATTTCTTGCCAAGCTCAAGGCCAAGGCTTCTTCGATGAATGGTACCGACAAGCCCTATAGCACTTTTGAGAGCTTGGTTGCTCATCTTTGGAGGGCCATAACCAAAGCTCGCTCACTCAACAACTTTGAGACTACCAATGTGAGAATTTCAGTTAATGGTCGCACCCGCTTGAACCCTAGAGTACCCAATGAATACTTTGGGAACTTGGTGCTTTGGGCGTTGCCAAGTGCTAAGGTGAAGGACCTTTTGCGCGAGCCATTGCCCTACGCGGCCAAGCTCATCCACGATGCAGTCGCAGAGGTGAACAACAACTACTTCAAATCATTTATCGACTTTGCAAACTACAAGGTGGAAGAAGAAGACCTCATTCCCACTGCAGACGTGGACGAGTCTATTCTGTGCCCTAACTTGGAGGTTCATAGTTGGCTTCGCTTTCCCTTCTATGACCTAGATTTTGGAGGAGGGTGCCCTTACATTTTCATGCCATCATACTTCCCAACAGAAGGCTTGATGTTTCTTTTGCCATCCTTCATAGGTGATGGAAGCATTGATGCTTTCATACCTCTATTCCAAGACAACCTGGCTTCCTTCAAACAAATTTGCTACTCCCAAGACAACCTGGAATCATTGATGCTTTCATATCTGTGACCTCCCACTTAATTTCTACCACAATATTTGTCAACCTGCATTCTTATTTCTTCCCCCCCTTGATTTCTATCACAATATTGTCAGCCTGTATGCTTAGTTCCCCCTTCATGCTAATCCTCTTCGTGATCGTATGAGGGATTTTTTTTTTTTGTTGCTATTATTATTATTATTATTATTATTATTATTATTATCATTAATTTTAATTTTAATTTTTCTTTTGTTGGGGGTTTATTTGCTCTTGGTAAGGAGCAACAACTCAAAATTAGTTATTATGTAATATGGTAGAGCATTTTATTATATTTGGTGGGAAGATAGAGTATAATAATTCAATAAAATTGAAGTTTGTCACAAATATAGTTTGATTAATCAGGTTTCTTCCAGAGATATCATGATTTAACAATTAAAATGGCCCCCATATACATTGGCCTTGTACATACCAAACATAGATTGAACGTTTTCCACGAAATCTGCCTCGTCCTTGCCATCATCAATGCAATTTATGTGGAAAACAATAATACAACAACCTCATAAATTTTATGTGATTTAGATTTATCATACACATAGATTTTATAATGTACACTTTCAATTTTCACCGTATATTATCATTCTTGACAAAATTTTGGAACTCAAACGACTAACAAGGCCTCATAAAAAATGGATGGAGCCGGCCGGTAAACATGTCTCCCACACAACCAACACTACAACAAAAACACACTTTAGTGACACTATACTAGTGACATGTTTTTAAAAAATGTCACAAAAAGAATATTTAGTGGCATGTTTTAGAAAAATGTCACAAAGCCATAAACATAAAAGGCTTTATTGGCATTTCAATAAAGAAGTGCCACATCACAACAAAAATGTAATTTAATAGCATCAATTTTATGGCATTTTATAAAAGAATGACACAAGAAATTATTTTAGTGACATTTATCAACAAATGCCACTAAACTTTAGTAGTAATGCCATTTTTTTAAAAATGTTACTAAATTAAGTAGGTGTAAGTTACTTTTATGGCATTAAGTGAAAAGTGTCACAAACAAATAATTTATGGCATTTTGAGAAATGTCACTAAGCTAAAAATTTTCCAAGCTATCTAATGTCAAAAAATAAATTGAACTCAATATAACATGCTATCAATTGGACCATTTTGAGACAAAATAAAAAAATTTAATGTTAAAATTGATTCAATTGATATTACAAAAATTAAAATGAACACAATAGCGAAAATAGAGGGACTAATAGTGTAATTTGCCCTAATTTTAGCATTTTTTAATAACAAACATGCATGTAAGTGACATATATCATTCTTTTAGAGGCAAGATGATAAATTTGCTCAACTCGGTAAGTTAATTTTTAGTGATCATTTTTCGGTAAAAACGCTAATAGTATCATTAATTTGATAATGTATCAGCTAAAGCTACAGCAGAAGCTAAAGCTAAAGCTATAGCAGAAGCAGAGCTGCAGCAGTTGAAGCCACAAGTCATTGCAGCTCAGTCTATAGCTGCAGAAGCAGAGCTGCAGTAGTTGAAGCCACAAACCTATATCTGCAGAAGCAGTTGAAGTGCCAGTTGTGTAATCTGTTAGAGCTGTTGTGTAATCTGTTAGAACTGGTGCACATGTTATATATATATAGTGAGTTCTTATAGTGAGTTGTTAGTTAGGAAGTGGTTATGGTTAATTGCACCATGGTTTAGTTAACTAGTTACTAGAGTTACAAATAGTTTGTATATAAATATATCTGTACTGAGATATTTTAGATTAAGTAAAGAAAAGATTCATCTTCTCTTTATGGTATTAGAGCTCTCATAGCTCTTGCGAGCATCGAAAGCTTCATCTTTAATCTATCAATGGTGAATCCTCGTCAAGAAGCAACAATGGCAAATCTGCAAGCAAGATCAACAACAATGGCAGCTTCTTCATCTGGTATAACTACCAGTTCTTCTTTACCTTCAAATCTCACTCTGCTCATTTCCAATCTGAATTCATTTGTTCCAATAAAACTTGAGTCTACAAATTATCTGATATGGAGAAGTCAATTTCAACACATCTTACGAGCTACAAATCTACTTGGATTTGTTGATGGCTCAAAGATCTGTCCTTCTTCCACAGTTCTTGATGAGAGTTGTAATGCTGTCGTAAATCCAGAATACACAGACTGGATCACTGTTGATGCACATTTACTCAGTTGCCTTACTGCTACATTATCTTCATCCATATACACCTCTATTCTTCATTGTATCACTAGTCATGAAGTGTGGACTACATTAGCTGCACAATTCACCTCCTTGTCTAGGTCACATGTCCATCAATTGAAGACTAAACTTAGTTATCTTACCAAGAAGAATTCAACAATGGAGGAATATCTCTGTCAGATCAAGACTACTGCTGATCAATTAAGTCTTGTTGGCTCACCAATTCATGATGAAGATCTGGTTTTACTTACTCTGAATGGATTACCTGATGAATACAATGCCTTTAAAACATCTATTCGTACCAGATCTGAACCTATCTCTATTATTGCCTTGTCTTCCTTATTATGTTCTGAATCCATTCACATTGAAGGCTTTTTGAAACAAACACACGCATCAGATCTACCATTTGCTTATGCTGCTAACAGAACTTATTCTAGAGGGAGTTCTAGAGGTTACATTAGAGGGGGATCTAAAGGTAACAACTCAGACTCAGGAAATTCAGGCAAATTTTATAAACATACTTACAGAGGTGGAGGACAAGGTAACACCTATAGAGGTAGAGGACAAGGCAGATCATCTTCATTTTTGCATCATTCAGACCAACATGGACTGATTTGTCAAATTTGTAGCAAATCAAACCACTCAGCCATGGATTGCTGGCACAGAATGGATCAAGCTTTTCACTCCTCTTCTTTACAAGGAAGAGGATCACAGTCTAAAGCCTATGTTGCCTCTTCTTCAACCACTTCTGCTGCTCTAAATTTTCAGTTTCAGTCTGCCTCTGCTGCATCTATCCCAGAATATTAGTCTGCTTCTACTGCATCTATCCCTGGTTCAAATTGGTTCGTAGATTCTGGAGCCACAACTCATTTCACCAATGATCTTAATAATTTCACTCAATTTCAGCCTTATCAAGGTTCTGATCATGTTACTATAGGAGATGGTTCTACTCTGCCAATTCATCACACTGGAAATGGTTTGTTTCCTACACCAAGTACTTCTTTCCATCTTCATAATTTGTTTCATGTTCCTTCCATTTCTACCAATCTTTTATCAGTTCATCAATTCATAAAAGATAACAACTGCACCATTACTTTTGATGCTGATTGTTTCATTATACAGGATAAGTTTTCCAAGCAAATTCTTCATAAAGGTCCTCACTCAGCTGGTCTTTACTCTCTCTCAGCTTCATCTGTTGTTCCTGGAACTTCTTCTACAACTTGCTTCACATCTACCACTACTTCTTCTTGTAGCAAGAGCACTTGGCATAGTAGATTAGGTCATCCTTCTAGTAATAAGCTGCAAGTGCTTGTATCTCAAAATTTGTTACCTACTAATGTACCTAGTTCTAATGATAATAAGCTGTGCACACATTGCTGTGTTTCTAAGAGTCACAAGTTACCATTTCATTTTTCCAATTCCACTGTAAATCAGCATTAGCACTTATTCATTCTGATGTATGGGGACCCTTTAATGCATATGTTTCACGTTTTAAGTACTATGTTCTTTTCATTGATGATTACAGTAAATTTACTTGGCTATTTCCTCTGACTTACAAAAGTGAGGTATTTTCTAAGTTTGTTGAATTCAAGGCCTTTGTTGAGACTCAATTTACCACTAAGCTTCAAGTCCTTAGAAGTGATAAGGGGGGGGAATATTTAGCAAATAAATTTCAGCAATTTTTAAAAGTTAAGGGCATTGAACATCAACTTAGTTGTCCTCATACTCCTGCTCAGAATGGAGTAGCTGAGAGAAAGCATAGGCACTTAATTTGAAACTACTATTGCCCTAATGCATCAATCTGCTCTTCCTTTGTCCTATTGGTTTGATGCTCTTGCCACCCCAGTATTTCTTGTTAACAGACTTCCCACTTCCAAACTTAGTAATCTTACTCCTTTTCAAATTTTGTTTCATCACTCACCTGATTACTCATTTCTCAAAGTTTTTGGTTGTAGGTGTTTTCCTTGGATTAGACCTTACACAAGTCACAAACTTCAACCTAGATCTATCCCTTGTGTCTTTGTTGGTTATGTTCCCTCTACCAAAGGGTATAGATGTCTTGATGTTACTACTGGCCATATTTTTTGTTTCTAGGCATGTTATTTTTGATGAGTGTACCTTTCCATTCTAGTCTCAGTCTATGTCTCCTGCTCAGTCTATTCCTTCTTCACTTTCTCAGCTGCAAACTTTCTTTTGGCCTGCCACTGGCTCAGTCCATTCCTGTTCTGTTTCTCCTCCTACAGGTTTTTCTCTCCTTGCTGTCAGTCCTGCTCACTCTGCTCCAGTTCTGTCTGGTTCTCATTTGTCTCCCTCTTTTAGTTCTGAACATATTGAAGTTGCTGGTTCTATTCCTGCACCAGTTGCAGTTGCAGGTTCTGGTTCTGTTCCTACACCAGCACCAGTTACAGTTTCTGGTTTTGTTCCACCAATTCCCATTTCTTTAATTTCCATTGATTTATCTTTTTCTTCTTCTACTTCAGATACTCATCCCATGCTCACTAGGTCTAAGTCTAAACCTCTCCCTGCTGGCTGCCTTCTCACTACTTCTTTTTCTCTTACTGAACCAGCTACTTTTCAAGCTGCTGCTGCATCTCCTAAATGGCAGGAAGCTATGTTAAATGAGTTTCAAGCTTTGCAAAGACAAGGCACTTGGTCTCTTGTGCCTTTACCCCCAGACAAAATTGCTATTGGCTGCAAATGGGTTTATCGACTCAAAAGAAATTCAGATGGATCCATTGCTAGGTATAAGGCTAGACTTGTAGCCAAAGGGTTTCTTCAAACTGAGGGCATTGATTATCATGAGACTTTTAGCCCTGTTGCAAAGCAACCTACAGTCCGAGTTCTTCTGTCCTTAGCTCTGCATTTTCAATGGTCTATTCGGCAGCTTGATATATCCAATGCATTTTTATATGGTGTCTTAGAGGAGGAAGTCTATATGCAACAATCTCAAGGATTCATTGATGCCTCTCATCCTCATTTGGTTTGCAAATTGCATAAAGCTCTTTATGGTCTTAAACAGGCTCCACGGGCATGGTTTTCTACCTTCTCTTCCTTTTTGCTGTCTTGTGGTTTTATCTCTAGTCATTGTGATTCCTCCTTGTTTG